GGTGCTTTATGATAATGGCATGTACTCCAGCAAAAACTCATACTTATTTATACACACAGATTAGTATTAACCCTTTTTAAAAAGGTGCTTTATAATAATGGCATGTACTCCAGCAAAAACTCATACTTATTTATACACACAGATTAGTTTTAACCCTGTGTGTATAAATAAGTATGAGTTTTTGCTGGAGTACATGCCATTATCATAAAGCATCTTTTTAAAAAGGTTAGTTTTAGCCATTTTTAAAAAGATGCTTTATGATAATGGCTTGTACTCCAGCAAAAACTCATACTTATTTATACACACACACAAATTAGTTTAACCATTTTTAATATTTCATTTGTTTTTGATTTTGTATTCTATGAGAATTTTGTTATTTTCTTAAATTTTTTTGTTACTTGATGCATGCTTAAGATAACTTTGGTTATAATCTATAAACCACATTTAATTTTTTAAGAATTTATAATAGGTGAAACCAAATTACATCTGAATGTCACAACAGAATTACTTTAAAATGTTTATGAAGTACAGCTTTCCTGTATTTTACAATAAAAATTTATTACTCTCTTAAATAAAAATAAATACTTGTTATTAATATAATTTGTCTAGAATGTTTTATTACATTTATTTCATGATTCTACAATGTTTAATGTAAGACACAACTATGGTAATATTCATACCACAAAAGTAACACTTTCGCAACTAGCCTCTCTTACTAACTTGCTATTTTGAGTCTAATCTGCTACTTATTTATAAAGTAAGAATATCTACACACTTTACAAGTTTTTGCTTATGAAACGTTTAATACATGACAAGATTATATCTTAAGATGTAGACACAAACCTGTGAACCTTTCATACCCTGTGGTCCAGATGAACCACGATCTCCTGGTGCTCCTTTCATTCCTACAGGACCATTTGGACCAGGTAAACCTCGTGGTCCTAAAGCCCCCTGTTTAAGAAAATGTTTTCTTAAAATTTGTGAATCAAAAGCTCTGAAAAAGTAATTCATTTAATTAACAAAGTTTAAGAATTAACTGCTGACACTTATCAGCTAATTCATTTAATTAACAAAGTTTAAGAATTAACTGCTAACACTTCTCAGACAATTAATTTAATTAGCAAAGTTCAACAATTAACTACTAATGCTTCTCAGATAATTCAGTTAATTAATATAGTTCACCAATTAAACTATTAATGCTTCTCAGATAATTCATTAGTAAACAAATTTTAACAAATGAATTGCTAATTCTTCTCAGATTATAGTAAATTAACTTTAATGTCAAAAAATTAGACAAATCTGTTTATTTATTTGCTGTTTCTGTTAGACTCTTAGTTGAAGGTTTTCATCAGCACACCATTTTCTAAATAAATATTCTGTGTATAGGTTTACGTATTCCTTTATACATTTACATAGAATATTGTAAGGAATTCAATCATTGGATAATATAGATAATACAACTTCTAACTGATGTACAAAACTAAAATGCTTTGAGAAGCTTACTCTTTCCCCTGGTGGTCCAGCTTGACCTGGTGATCCAGGTGCTCCTCTTCTTCCCTAGAACAATTTGAAGAAAATATTATACTAAATAACCATGTACAAGCTAAATATATAATTGAGTAAAAAATACATATAGTATTACAATATTACTATAACTGTGTTTAATTACTCCATGCTATATTTTACTTATTCTCTTGGCTAGGTAATGTTACGAATAGCTTTAATGATACCATTCTAAAATAGTCTGAAGTGGAAACTTCACAGGCTTTTTAATTTAAAATGAACACCCGAAACTACATTATTCAAGACACAGCAGTAAGTGTAATGGGTATAAACAGTCAAATTTATTTAGCAGACCACACATAAGTACATACTCATTTTTCTTTGGTTGTGTAGTGAGAATACAAAGTTATGTTTAAATAGTTGACCACACACAATTACAGACTTACTCTTCTTTTGCTGAAATAGTAAAACACAGTTAGGTTTATACAGCTAACCAAAGGTAATTACTCAATTATAGTTTTTTTTTCTTCAAATTTGGACATCATATTGCTCTTAAATAAGAGAAACCTGGTTTTGATGATGTTTAAATACACATTTATTTGCAGGATAAGTATTTATATAGTAATCCTCAGGAATTCCTAGGAAATTGGTTTTTTTGGTATTGTATAACACAATATGTATAATACATCAACTTATATATCAGCTCCCAGATTAATGAACATATTTTCTTATCAATATAATTTATGATATTTTTATACATTTACTAGGAAAAATAGTAAAATGGAATCTTGCTTACTCGTTTTCCTGTTCGTCCTGGAGTTCCTGGAAGACCTCGTGGTCCAGATGTTCCTGATTCTCCTTTTTTGCCTGATTCCCCTTTATGTCCTCTTTCCCCTGGTATTCCCTATCAAGTAAAATAAGCAAATATCACTTTTTTATTTTATTATAATTATTTCTTTGAACATCCTAATGAAATATCAAATGCTTAACAACTGATCAATGATAATAAGTACATTATATAATCTTATTCACAACTATAATAATTTCTTTTTACAAACTACAACAACATTCACATTATATTTTTCATCACAATAACAAGTAAATAGTAGAAGAACTTAAATGTTCTTCTAACTCTCTGTTAATGTGTTACATATCTTCTTTAAACTTATTTTTAAATAACTATTAGCCCACCCATTGCTGGGCAAGACTAATATAAAAATGGGATAAAATTAAAAGCAAATAAGTTACTTAATACAGAAAGAAAAATTACAATTGAAAACCATAAATTACTGATCTGTTATCCTAGACGTGTAGATATTTCTTATTTAATGATCAGTTACTAAACCAAACACAGTTTTAAGGAGAAATGATTTCTACAATCTAAAGCTCTATGGTGTTTTAATGATAAATACTAAGTCGTGTCCCATGGTTGTTAGGTACTTAATTTGTCTGGTTAAGTGGAACTTATAACATTTAAGAAATAAATGAATATTCTTAATGGCATACCTGTTTTGATTCTATGGTCAAAACAGAGAAATGTATATGGCTTGTAAAAAAAATGTGACACTTAATTATCTGTATTACCTGATAGATTCTGAGTTCCGCTATCAAATTCAGACCTAGTATATTAAACTGTATTGTTACATACACACATGAGCTGAATCAAAACTAAGAATTACAATTTTTTGAAATGATTATTATCCTTCATGAAAAATTCAAAATGGAAGACACAATAGTGAATACTGTATTTTAATGAACATTATCACTGAACATTGAACTTGACCACATTTCTTGAAGCTTTCAAATACTGAAAATAGAGCAAAAACTCAACTTAAATATTAGTGCATAAGCTATTTATGTTTAGATGCCATTATACTTGTTTTCAAATTCAATGACGAGGAACCCACTTTGAGACTAATAATGGTTGGAGACGGTTTGAATGAGTAATGAAGAAAAACTTTAATATAAGTTTAACATAACAGCAAACGTGCAATGTTTCGACAAGGTTTTGTCATTCATTACCCATTCAAGCCGTCTCCAACCATTATTATACTTGTTTATTTAATACAAGGCTGCTGTTTGCATGCCCTCTATTAGCAAAATATGGAGCTGATCAAAGCCATTCCCTTTTTCGTAGAGCTTGGCCTTAAACTTTCCATGTACTTTTTTATAAAAGTATTAACAAATACTAATGTAGATTTGGCACACAATTAACATCCTAAGGTCATATCTTGTTAACATTTTACTGAACTGAAATCTTACTTACTGGTGCTCCTTTAGGTCCAACAGGTCCTGGACTGCCAGAAAGTCCAGGAGGGCCACGACCCCCAGGAAACCCTGGTATTCCAGTAGGCCCTCTGTCACCCTAAGAAATTAAAAAAGACGTCGTGTATTTAGCTAAAAGTTAAACATTTTATATAGTTATTTATCTAATCTGTATGATACAGTATTGTATAAACAATGTTAGCAGATACATAAGTCGTATAGAGAAAAAGCAATAAACATATGTTTATCTATGTTCACCATTGACAGCTACAAAACAATCATTCTTTTCTCCTTTTAAAATAAAAATAATATATAAAACATGGAACATGTTTTATTATGGAATATGATTAATTATATTTCTTAGGTGAGTGCCATTATTGTTGGTGAAGTTCAATTAAGCAGTAGCAAAAGTATTGTACTGAAGAAAAAACAATGTAGTAAAAATAAATATAGCTAATCAATACATTGAAGTACCCAAAATTCTTGAGTATACTCTAACTTCTAACTCATATTCTATGTTCTGTTCATTCAAGTTAACACAATAGATGAACATCATATGTTGATATGAAAAACTTGCATGTATTAAACCTAATTGTGTTTTTGACTGAAGTTTGGATTATATATTATACATACTCTGCAAATGTAGATATAGTGACTAATGGTCATTATAACAACTTTATGTGGCATTTGCTAAAACAGTATAAAGTTCTGTGTTAGTTCATTAAACCAGAGTAACAATCTGTTTATGTACTTACAGGTGATCCTTTTTCTCCAGGTAGTCCATCCGTTCCTGGAGGACCCTTGAAAAAAACAACAAAAAACATAAGAAATGTTATGTTTAACATGATAAACATTACTAAAGTTATTAAGCCATTTTAAAAGATTTCAAATTTCAGAGATAAAAAGATTTTAGCAAAATAAATGCAAGCTTATACTTAATGTACTTATACAATATAGCATCTCTAAATATCTCCTACAATGATTCAGACAAATTTTAGTCTTCTCAGCCTTTCACCCATCCACATTTTGAAAGCAGAGTTCAATGTTTATTACTATATAAATATAGCATTGTGCTAAAAATCTTATTTTTGTAAGCCAATTCAATACATTTAATCACATAAGCCAAAGCATTGTTCTTATCAAAACATAAAAGTATAAAGCAATAGTGCACATTTATTTACAAAGAATTTTGGTGATATAAAATGTTTTGGTAAGAAGTTTTAAAAAATTCAAGTAAAAAGAAAAGAAAGGTAGAATGGGATTAATATATAAAACATAATTTGACTGTATCTTATCTGTGATATGGCATAACAAAGTTTCATGGGGTAATAAAGAAGTTCAGAAACTTTAATAGTTTAAAAACATGCTTTGTCACTCATGCAATTTATTAGTAAAAATTTATTAACAGCAGTTTTAACTGTGATCTAATAGAAATTATTGTTCTAAGTTAATTAGATTTTTCAAACTGTAATGTAATAAAAATCAAGATTATTAAAGATGGAATTAAATTAACAGAGGATACAGACAACTAGTTTATTCATTTCCTGAGATAAGAAAGCCACTGGTTTGCCCTATTTTAACTTTAGAGATATCTGTCTACTTACCATTTGTCCATCTTCCCCTGAAATACCTGGACTACCTGGTTCTCCTCTTGGGCCTTGTAAACCCTGGCTGCCTTTGGGTCCTGGTTGGCCTGCATCTCCCTGAATAGTAGATAAATATATAACATTCAGTGGAATGTATGTATTCTTTAACGAATTTATGATTAAGTACAATACTTTGAATTTACCTGTATTAGTTCGAACTTTATTAAACCTGTAAGACTAAACTCAATATCTAGATAAATAAAAAAAAATAAACTGCACTTTTGAATAAGATATTAGTACAAACACTATGAAACTGGTTTTGATAATTTTGTGTGTACTCTTCAAAACATATTAACTGTATTTAAATAAGTGGATTCTGTTTTCAACAGATATAAAAACTTATAAAATCTTAACCTGATATATATTTTATGTATACAAGTTTTTCCTACACATGTATACTAATATCATTAAAAAATTATCATCAGTCAAATGGTGGATCCTTCATATAGTTTCAGCCTCATTTTGTATCACTCAATTTTAAAGTTGATCATCAGAGCCAATTCTAACCAGTTATACACAAACAAAACAGAATTTACATTTACAGTCTAGTTATGACAGGTAGATGACAATATATAAACATGACTATTGTAAGAGATACTTTTTATGTATGAAAAGTTTTACTCTGATTACAGGTTTGAATTAAGAAGAAAGCAATATAAAACACTATTTGTACTTTAATTTCTTCCTGTTTTAGAGCATTTTTTTTAGAAATCCAGCAAAAATTAAATATGAATAAACATAATATCACAAAGCATTAATATAATGTTTTATTACTTTAATACTTGTTCACTAAAATGAAATAAAAACTTGGTCTTAGGTAAGTCATTAGACTTTAAATTCAGAATATTTTTGAATAATCTGAATTCATTATTCCAAGAAAATATATCTAAAATTAAAATGTTTCAGCATTACATGGTTTCTTCATAGCTTTTTTATGTGTTCAATATATTTAGAATTAAAATCCAGTTCTCTAAGTGCAAATCTCCCATTGTGATAAAGAATTAAGTTCATACATAAATATTGCTAACAATTTTGATAGCATGTACATTTGTGAATCACAAAACTTTGTTATCAAATACCTTCTTTTCATTTCCACATTATGCACTTCACTCATTATTGAAACAAGTAATTCACAATTAAAACTAAATAATAATGCTCATAACTCAAATTTATTTAAAATCAGGCTACGATTTCTTTAAAATAAATATTTGTAGCTTTCAATAATTAAAGCATTCTAAAAGCATATTTCTTTTTTCTACTAAAGTTAAAATCGTAGTTTAATATGTGATTGAGAGTTTTAGTCTTAAGATTTATTAACCACATACAAGTTGCTATAAACTAAAAAAAAAATCTAAAAAATGATAAGATTTAAATTATATTAAATTTGTGTTATCATTTTATCAAAAGCCCTTTTAAAAATATTGTCAATCAGATAAAGTTATTGCCATCAAGTATATTTGTATGAAAAATTAAACCAAAAGTCAGTGAAAGCTTTGTTTTTAATTCATTAACTATTAATTTAATGGAGATTATTTTAGGGTTGACTTACCTTTGAACCTGGTAATCCAGGAAAACCTGGTGGTCCTGGACGTCCAACTGATCCCTAATAATGAAATTGCCATCACTAAATTTACCCCAGATCATCCATAACAATAAATCAGTTCAGTAAGAAACACCTCAGAAGGCCAGATGTTTGCCATTTTAAGAATGTCATAAATACTATACTCTTATGCAGAATATCTCATAAGCTAGAAATTTTAACAGAATGTATTAATGTGATCAAACATCCAATATGCTGAAAATAGCAAGATAGCAAAGAGATTATTGAATAAATATATGTATATATATATATTAGCATGATTCCTATAGATATGACAAAACATGAAAATGAGAAACCTTGACCTCTCACCCCTCATTTGTTGTCCCTGCAAAATGTCATCAAAATTAGGTTGTATTTAATGGTGCCTCATCAACCTAGAAGTTTTTACTACTTTTGCTATTAAATGTTAGTATGAGTAGTTAACAGGTGCCTCACTCACAAGTACTAGGGGGCTAACCCTTTAACTCAGTTGGTAGAGCACTCTTCTAGTAAGTGATGGGTCTTGGGTTCAAATCCAAGGTGAGAAAATACATATATCAGGAAAAAACAAATAAACATAGTTTCAAGATCTTCATGTTCAGTGAGACAAAGGAAGATGTCAGATTCAAAGCAAATAAGGGGAATTGACTTTGTTAACTCCTTTGTTTCACCATTGCAAGGGCTATGTCCATGCCTGGCTCTCTGTTCCCATAGCTACTTCTGTCCCACTATATGCAGTTCTTGGAAAGGCTTCAGAAATATTCCAAAATTAACAAGGGAATTACTGATGGGACTCACTTCAGTGTCACCTACATCAACTTTTGATCCCTGGTCAATTTGTTACATACAGTTCTATTGTTCAAAATATTATGTGTTCAGATAAAAAATATTCAAGTTTTGTAAATGAGGCACTAATAAATAAATCACAATTTCCATGAATTTTCACAGGTATTGTTTTCTAGATAGATTGAGAGGGTAAGAATATGTGATTTTCAAAAATAAGGATTACCCTAATATACGTATATAGATATATATAAATCAGAAAAAAATAATTATACCTATTGTCTATTTACAAATACATACTTACACATAAAGCTTACTTTAAGTAAGGTATACAGTACTTGAATAATGAGAATTGCACAGTATGATAGAAAATAAGAATAAAACAATGATAAGTGCTAGGAAATATACGTTATACAAAAGGAAACTAAGATGTTGTCTACATAAAAATATAGACACAATACACTGACACAATACAAAGACACAATACACTGACACAATACAAAGGCATTGTAGAAATGAACTACAATAACTTACTGGAGGCCCAGGAGGTCCAGGTAAACCATCAATTCCTCTTAAACCCTGAAATAAGATATGAAAAGAGAAATAACTACAATAGTTCACAAAATAAATGTCATAAATAATTACATACAATGTGTAAAAGATGACACTTTTATTCTACTTGAAGTAAAATATTTTCAACATTAACCTATTACAAATAGGTTAGTTTATAAATACTGTATTTTGATTGCAGTGTATTTAAATTTTGTAACAAATATACTAAAATTGTTTTTCAAGAGCTAATTGAATCATCTTGTATTAATATACCTAATATATTTCAATCTCATATTGTTAAATTTTACAAATAAATAAAACATATACACAATTTTTTTCTTGTCTAATGAGCAAGTGACACAGCAAGAAAGATAAAAATTTTATTGAAACTACTAAGACCTTGAAATATTTGACATTACTGTATGCAACCATGACTGTTTGGTGTTATTACTGTAATCCCTCAAGTTTGTTAGTTTTAGAATTGGACAAATACAGAGTTTTTATCATAGACATTTCTGACTCATCATCAGTATATCAGGAATGCATTCCACCAAATAAAAGTAATTTTCTATTGAAATGATAAGAAATTTAATGAATTTTCCAGGTAAATCAAAATTTTATTTTCTTTTTTTCACATTTGAAATTGGCTGTTATATTGGCCAATTTTCAGTTTCCTCTTCCAAGCTTATCCCACAAGTTACTAGAATATTGAACAAAAACACAGGAAGATAAAAGAGTTGGTATAATAGTTCTGTAATGTTTTATATACAAAAATTAATAATGGTAGATTTTTACATTAATGAAAAGAACTAGAAAAGGGAGTAAAAATATTGGAAACATTCTGGGAAAAAGTAGGCAAGTTGACAGGTATGATTTATTAAGTGGGAACTTGGTAGTAAATAAATGCTTTCTTCTTGGGTTTATAAGTTTAATTGTGTTATTGGTTGTTTTATGATAATTTTTCATTACTAAAGTAACTATTCCTTTATACTGTAATTTATGATCTCTCGTGTAAGATACATCAAGTTTGTGGCCCATGTAATTGCTACTGGCTGCATATCTCTGGTATTTAAATAAACATTGTTTGTACCTGTAATTAAAAGAGAGCCAAGTCTCAACTTCATATATTTAATTGTGAAAAGTACATTTCTGTTACAACTAAAATAATTGGTTTTTCGATCATTTCAGATAATATTTTGTGTCCATTTTAGTTTGTTTAAATTTTCTTAGATGAAATTTTAAATTCATCACTGAGTTTTGTAAAGTATTTTTAAAGCTAAACTAAATATAATGCTTTGCCCTATCTTTTAATCAATTAATTTATTAACCTTATGTGCTAATGTAACTTGGGATTAGAAAATAATTATTATTGTAAGTCCAATAAAAACAACAACTTTGATTTATCTGTCAATAGATTTCGTGTACATTAAGTGAGCTCTACAGATTTTTTGGTTCTATTTATGTTACATTATCTCAACTTACACTTGCTAGGTCAAACCTTTACCTTTATCCAGTTACTAGTGTCTCTAGAATATGAATTGAAGATGCTTGTTCAGCAATACCCTGTTTATTTTTTTAATGCATCACATTATTACACAAATTTTGTATAATGGAAGTATTCAGTCTAGTCAGGCTTATTACCCCAGTCATCTTGGTATGGATAGAGGTAACATAATATATTTGTATCTTATTTAAGTATTTTTCATGTACAGGATGTGAAAAAGCAGAGTCCCATTTAGATATCTTATTTGTTGTCTGTTTTGAGTACAAACAACCAAAATAAGTTGTCTAATGTATAACTCCAAAATGCCAAACAATGTATTGTGGTTAATGGTTATCACTTGACACAGTTAAAAAAATAAGTATTAATCTAATGATTAATGGAACTTAAGGAACTGTGTCAGATGCAAAAATTAAACTAAATGATTTACTTACAGGAGGTCCAGGAGGCCCTTCTTTTCCACGCTCTCCTCTAGGTCCAGAAGGTCCCTAAGTTATTTTAAAAGGAAGAATTTCAACCTGTACAGTTTTACAGAATGAAATCTATAGTATTATTATCTGTAGTAGTTACAGTTAAACAAAAAAAAAACACCCTGGTGTAAAAGAGAGTAACTTAAGTTAACTGCTTTGCATGAAATCTGAAAAAGTGAAGTATCCACTAATAATATCATAAACATTAGCTAATAACCATATAATTTGTTTCACACAAATGAAAAAATAGCAAGTACAGTGCACCTTATAATGTATTGTAAATATTTTGGTTGTAATATAATTAAATATAAGTAAGTTAATAAAACAGGTAGAATTTATAATAGAACTAAATATGAGGGAAACTATAGAAATTGAAAAAAACAAAGATATTATATTAAACAAGGAAGCTGGTCCAGGTCTATAAATAATAAAATACTGGACAGATGTGTTATAACTCAGGATAGTTTGAGTCTAGATAGTGTTTTAATATGCAAATGATTATGTGAGTATATAAGTCCCAACATTACTTCTACCATTACTCCTAAAGCTGGTGTCATACCGACACCATAACAGATGTAGTCTTTTAGGGCAAGTCCCTGTTTTTGATAATTATTTATTATGTAAGATTTTAACGTTGTATTGCTTTTAATTGTAAATAGATCTTTTATACAAGTTTCATTTTTAAATTATTTAATATAACATTTGATTATTCTTTTGCAAATAAAATATAAAAAAACAGCTTCTAGTAATATAAATAGCATTTAATTTATTTAGAATGTAAGCTATCAGTTTATTTACTTAAATATTTATGAAATAATATTCCATCTTTCTCTTTTTGATAACATGTTTAATTAGCTCTAGCTCTATATCTTCAAATTTAAGAATGGAAATACATAAGAATTAAACTAATGCTACAGCTTTTTGCAACTGCTAAATAGGCAAGTTGTAGCTTCCATTACATAAATATATTGATTTTAATGTAAATAAACATTGAAATGACAATCTTACCATTGGACCTACAATGCCCATTTTACCCTGTAGTCCCATAGAACCCTGTAAAATGAAAGACAACATACATTGAAATTTTCAATTTATATTTAATAAAGTAAATATTCTTAATAGTTTTTTCAACTATTTCTAGCAGTACCAATATAGATTGTTTGTTGGTTACCATAAATATAAGTTTATGAAAATAACTTTCCTAACTGTAGCTTTGTGTATATGAAGGATAAATTCACAACTATATTATTATAATACTGAAATAATAACAATTGAATAAAGACAAAAATATTAAGCACATGAGTTTTGAAGATTTGTTAAGTTTCTTATTCAAACAAAGAATCTTTTATTGCATATTTTTATTTACTTTATGTGGTGACGTTAGTGAATTTATCTTTCCACCATTTATCAAATATTTCTGATTCATAATAAACAGACACAAAAATGGTAAAACAGTGGCAAAGAAGACACATTATTCTTTGCTTTCAAAGAATCGTATAAATTTTTAGCCATGATTTAATGGGTTATGCTATTCAGAAGGTTAAGAAATTATCTCATATTCCATACTTTCTCTCCTGAAGGGCCTTGTTCACCTTTAGATCCATCTATACCTGGAAAACCCTGTAACATCAATGTCTATAATTAGTTTCATGTATGTTCTTTAAGAAATTAAACATAATAAACTTTCATTTCATTAACGTTTTTAGCATTTTGTCAAATTCTCCTGTTAACTATATCTTATTAAAGTAAAAACAAAACTTTATTTTTCATAAACACTGAGCTAAGATGATTTAAGAGCAGTACAAGAGCTTTTCAACTACAATACTATGGACAAGATCATTGTTAACACTACTGGCAATGTTGTGGTATTTCAATACCTTTGCTTCTGGGGTTTCTATTAACTGCCAAAGAAGGTGATGAAAATCATGTGCTTGTTCAATATAAACTGAGCTAAAATTTTTACTTCCAAGTTACTTATATCAACTGGCTACAACCTTCCACATTTCTCACAAAAATGATATCTTTAAGCCTAAGTTTCTTAATTGGGCACCAATTTCTATGCCATATCCCTAACCTAGGTGCTGGATTTGACCACCTGTCCAACAAGGTGCTGAAACAAACAAGTGCTTTTACCAATAAACTAAAGAATAACCTTGTAGCTAATCAGCATATACAGCTACTACAATGCCTTAAGTCAGTTACATGTTTGTATGTAAAATATGTTATGCTACACTAAAAACTCAAGCCAAATTTCTTTAAGTTATTATATATGTCCTTAAGATTTGATGAACTACTTCTACTTCATGTTAAAATATTGTTGACTTCTTTACAATACTTTGTTGACAACAACAATACTTCACACAATTGTAAGTACTTTCTTCTATTTCATTTCTAATCAACAATAAATTCTTATGTAAGCTTATCTTGGTGTACAAGAAAAGAAATAAAAGATTGATTTTAAAATTATTACAATAATTTTTTGCAAGCCACCCGGAAGGCATCTTAATGTTTTCTGCTATACAATGATAATTTAAAAATAAAAGAAACCAAAAAAGCTGAAATATTCAGAATGAATATTTACCAAATATGCTATTAGAGAAAATTAAAATATTTTTTCAAACATTTAACATAATCTTAAGGAGCTTGATAGGTTAAATAAACATAATAATGCATGACAAATTTAGTTATTGAAACAAAATGAAAAAATATACATTTCAGCAATAATTGCTTAAATTATAAACATTTTTAAACCGAAGGAATTCAAACATGCTTAGTTTTCATTATTAAAATGTTTCTTCACAGTCAAATGAAAAATAATTCTTAAAACGAGATTTATAAAATATTCCTATATTAATGATATTTGTTACTACAAATTATTTTTTTAATTTTCATGTCTTACCCCAGTAATTCAGTAGTAAGTCTGAGAGCTTACAACACTAATAATCAGGTTTTGATACCTGCAGTTGGCAGAGCACAGATAGCCCATTATGTAGCTTTGTGCTTAATAACAAACAAACTCATGTCTTTTGCTCTTTTTGACTAAATGTAGTTTAAAATTGAAAGCCAACGTACCCTATGACCTTTAATACCTGGTAGACCTGGCATTCCTGGTAATCCTCGTGTTCCCTAAAGTTTAAAAGAAATGAGTCTTTAAGCATGCCCACAAGTTTTCTTGATTAAAGCAAAAAAGTACAGAAAAATTAAGGTTGCTGTTTTTATTTAGTTAAAATCTTGACTCATGAATACTGAATTATTATTGACAAATTCAAATAAACTCACTAAATGACAAATTAACAGGAACAAATAAAGACATACAATATACCATAGAAATAATTCTATATTTTCTCGGAACACAATACTTTTATTGAAATTAATGATCTTTCTATCATGTAAAAAAAAAAGTGCTAATGAGTAATTTTTTAAAACACCTTCTTCTAGATATTTTAACCTTATCCTGTATTTTTGGATGCATAAAGTGGAACACAAATTGGTAAATTACCAAGACGTTAATAAAATACACAAGCATTACATCTTCTGATATTAAGGTCTAGTTTATAGGTAATTTTGATTCATAAATGAAAATTAAAATTGATTGTATATTCTGAAAATGTTACTAATAAAGCTAACAACATTAAGGTTGTATAAAGTTTTCATACAAGCAGTTCAAAACAACACATTTAACCAGGAGGAAATAACAAAGTTCTAAAAGTAAGTTCCAGTAAAAGTTATTATTCAAACCAAATATCCAACAAACAGAATACATAGAAGGATATGTAATAAAATACAGATATTTGTTGAACATAACTTACAGGTGGTCCTGGTGGACCTGGTGGGCCTCCCCTTCCATCATCACCTGGCTCTCCCTACTCAGCATACATAAAATATTTTTTTTAGAAATAACATGCAATACATGACAATAATTAATCAAATTTTGATTGAATTTACACAGTTTTTTCAGTGTACTGATTATACTCACTATGTGTAACACCTGCTTTCTAATTTCAGGAACTTAGCAAAGTACAAGAGATACTGAGATAAAAATAGTAAAAGGAGAGAAAGAAAATGCACTACAATAATCATAATAACATTCATTACAGATATAGATACAAATTTTTAAATTCCATTTTCACAGTCACATGATAACAAGAAATGTTAAGTATATTAATGTGTCTGAAGTCTCACAATAGTGTTCTCTTAGAAAGTTAATGTGCAAAAAATAAGTATTTCTACTGTGCTATCTACTAATCTATATTAAAAAATAACTAAGACTTAGCCCATTATACTATCAACTGAAATTATAATTTAACTTTAGAGAATATTTCATCTTTCAATGCAGTGATTATGGAATAGCATAAATAATGTATGCATTTTTCAACAGCAATTTTTGCAATGTGATTTAACAAATTGAACATATTAATTTTTTTTGTATTAATGGAGTAAGCCTGTACTGAACAGTGTTATGACAATAAATCAAAATCACTTTAATGAAAATACATTTTAGTACTTTGGACTTCCATTTTTTATCATAGCAAGTAGGTGTCCTTTGGTCAAAGATATGTCAGCTATAAAATGTAATTATGAAACAATTCAAAATTATAAACTATTAAACAAATCATAGAAATTATGGTTATTGACCGATAACTGCATACATGAAAAATATATTAAAATGTTTTGTTTACGAGTTAAAATAGTCATTCCACAGAATTATAAATTTTCATATTTAAAAGTTTTGTACAATAAAAGTTTTATGTACAATCAGTTACTTCATTTTAATTTGAGAAAACACTGGAAGTATAAGTCAGATATAAATATTCCATGCTTATCTTCTAATTCAGCTATAGAGATGGACGTTTCATTTACCCATTCACTGTGTTAATGTACTTGTCAGACATGAAATACTCTTTCTTGCAGTTCCTAGTGTATCTACATGCATATTACATAGTATGTCTGTATATATGTAAAGTTTTCAGTTTTATTTTCTGTTGGTTTTTACAATTGTGTAAACATGTATATATATATGTTACTGATATAATGTCACAAATATACAGTTTTGTGATATATGCACTTAACACTGAAGGAATTCCACTAAGGTGCCATTCTATACAAAATATGATTTGAAGATAGTATATAAACATGTGGCATAATTCACCAGAAAATAATATTTTCAAATATAACATTTCATTTACAATTTCAAAACAAGTGGTATTGTTGAATTCCATCGATTAATTCTTGGCTTCAGATTTGTAGTTCTGAAACTCTTCCAAATTCATCATCATCAGTTTGACTTACTCTACTAAATTCTCACTCATAATAGACATGTTACAATCTTAAAAGTGACATGCTATCCTTAGTAAGTTCTGAATTTTCCCATGAATATGCTCTTTTATAGATGTTAAGAACCATCTAGTGGAGGAGCCTAGATATTTCTCCATGCAAGAAGGAAAAACAAATTTATAAACAACAAATGACTTCTTACTTTTGGGTATTATATACCTAGAATGAAATAAGAAATTTATATGAATATTGTTCCTAAATTTGCACCTTACATGAACCTGTGGATGAACTCTGATATTAAATCTAATTTCTTTTATTCCATCCTTAATATGACAACGTATTTGATTTCTTTGGCACATCAAACTTCAAGAATTTAGGGATGGTCAGTAAAATTAGTATCTCATTAACATTCCTATGAATGAAAAATAGTATCAAATTCATTATGTTTCAAAATTTTTTTATTACGATTTATTTTGTCATGGAAGTTTTCTTACAATCCTTTACGAATGATGACAAAAATTTTTATCAAATTTATTTTCTATGTCTTAGGAACAAAACTACTGAAATGTGTATAAAGTTTTGAAAACGTTGATCTATGATAAACACCTACTTCAAAAGTACCTTGTTGATTATACAAAATAGTATTTTAGATATTTATTACATAAATATTGCAATAATTTTTCAACATTACTTCTTTACTGAAAAATATTAATTGTGTTATCAGCATATCTTTTACAGTAAATTAGTTTAAATTCTATATGACATTTTGAATTATAAAAGTAATAACTAATATGAGTGAGAACTTTACCAAAGTAAGTTCAGATGATGATGGTGAAAAATTATGAACTTGGGAGAGTATGATAATAGTAGTTGTCAATTTGAATTGAGCCAAGAATGAATAAACCTAGTTCGGTAATAACAGTTCTTTTGAAATTGTAAGAAGAAAAAATAACAGTTTATTTTGCAATCTCTATCTTTCTTATACAACAAAGATTGTTTTTTAATAATAAAAATAAAAAACAATTTATGATTAACTAATACTCTTTTGAGTTTAATAATCAAATGCATCGTTAAAAAATTAAAACATTTGAATGAAATGCTCTCTTTAAAACGTAAAATAACCTAGAGAATCATGTTATTAGAAACATCCCTTACATCTTTTCCAAGTAAACCAGGTAGCCCTCTCTCTCCTGGCTGACCAGGTGGTCCCTATAAACACAAAAACTTAGTTACATTTAATTCAATAACTTTAAGGTAAACATATCTTTATTTTGTAAAATAAGAAGCTTTAAAGATAATAGAGTTTTCAAACGGATTAATTCAGTGGACATGAGAGTCATATGTATATACTATAACCGCACTGGAATTATCTAAGCTGTTGATAAGATTAAAAACTCCACCAATTTGAGTTAGTACTGGATCCATTCCCATACAGTTTTGTGTATTGTACAAAGGCTTAAGATCTCCTTAGTTACCTTTATATTCTGAAAAACAGGTTACAATATTAATAAATAATTTTTTTTCTAAAAATAAAATATACTAACATTGATTGGTGATGCCAGATTGATAAGAACGGCGTGTATAATTACGATAGCTTCTTTTTTGTAATAAATCAGCCTAATGAATTATCATACAAGAGTTAAAGAAAATGGGTGGTATCTAATTTTACACCTTTTCAAAATATGTCACTAAGAAAGGTAATATAATGTACTTTCTTAACCATTAGTAGGGTGCTGATTTCATCTTTAGTACTGTGCAGGCAGAATAAAAATAAGTCTGTGTTTGAGGATTGTGCATAAAAATGCCAAAGTTCCAAAATTTAAGAGTAAAATACATAGATATTTATGCATTTAATAAATATGCAAAAAACAAGTAGGACACGTTTTTATTTGTCTTGGTATCATATTAATTAAATGGTACAATGAGTCAACATATCTATATTAGCTTTACTGTAGCTTATTATCAGGCCATATTAAATTATCACATGATCAAGAAAGAGTAACAATAATTATATCTAATTCTATTATTTTATTTTTATTATTACACTTCTATTATAAAAATTGATTTACATTGTTACCTTACTATTTGGATTTAGAACTAACTTAAATCTCATAAACTGACCAAACCTCATGAGATGTTATTAGGTTTATGACCATAAATATCATTAACAGAGTGTATCCAATTGATGAAACAAGTCGTTTTAATCTTTAATAAGTAAAAACACATAAAAAGTATTTTTCTCTTTCTATATCCATTACCAAGTTGATTTATAGTTTTGGTCTAAGTTGGTAGCTTACTTATTTTGGACGTTAATATTAATTATAGCTTACCGGAGGACCTCCATCCCCTGGTTCTCCTCTTAGTCCTTGAAAACCTTGAGGTCCCTATGAAAAGCAAGTGGCATCATTACACATCTCTTAATAAAAACATAATCTTATTTGTAATGATGAAAAAAAATTATAGCACAAATTCTTTGAAAACATGTACTAGAGGTGTACTTATATATAATGATATATATAAATACACCACCAGTTTTTTTTTCAACATAATGTGCTAATTTAAAATAAAATATAAATAGTTTGCCAGAAAATATCCATAACAATCCAGTTATACAAAGCTTATTTTATCAGGTGTAATATATATCACTTTTTTCTAAAATTAATAAAACAGTAGAATTTACTTCTATATCCATTGTCAGTTTTCACTTACTTATAAAAAATTGTATGCTCAGAAAATATAATCTGAAAACCTTAAAAAATAATTACCATCATCAGTATTCTGAAAATAACATACCATAAAAATTAATGTTAATCTTCAGTGGCACCTACAGGTTATCAAAAATTCAGATATAACTAATTTTTGATATCATGTTATCTAGATGAAACCTAATAATTCATGCATATATATATACATATGTGGTAAACATTTTGAAGATTAATAATCCCGAAAGAGAAAAATTCCTTAATAATAACATGCAAAAAACAAAGCTTATAATTTTGAATTCTGTTATTTACACTTCAATTACTAAATCTATCATTCATGAATATAAGTAAAGAAACAAACTTTCAAAAAAAGTCAGTTCAGCTGTAGCTCAGGCTTTAGATCATAGCTCAACTTTAAATCATAGCTCAATCCTAACTTATGCATACAACAAAAAAGATGGGGTTGGGGAGCTCATATCCTTCCCTTAGCCATAACTGTTTAAAATTTGTGTAAAAAGTTACATACTAGGAAAAGTCATATTTACATAGCTAAATACTGATCTCTATTATGAACTAATTCAAAACAATCTATAGAAATATAATAGTACTCTCTGTTGTATGTCAATGTAACTACTTCACAGGGTGTTAATGGATCTTAACCAAAATTGGTATGGAGGTTCAATAGGTCCATGCAGGGGTACAAACAAATTTTCAGTTTTGCATTTTGCAGTTTATGGGTGTTTTTTACCACTACTGCGGCCACTCTAGATGGATCTCCACCAAATTTGATATGGAGGTTCAATGGATTCATGTGGAGATACATACAAATTTTCAGTTTTGTATTTTGCAGTTTTTATGGGCATTTTCACATTTTTTACCACTACTTTGCTCCCTGTTAATGTATCTTCACCAAATTTGCTATCAAGGTTTGTTGGGTCTATGGGAATATACATACAAATTTTCAGTTTTGCATTTTGCAGTTTTTATGAGTGTTTTTTACAATTACATATGAGGGAAGCAACTTTTCTTGTCCTAAGATAACCTTTCATCAATCATCAATTTATATAGCTTCTGTCCAGGCAAAGCATAATCCAGCTAGTGAGAAATAAGTCTGGTTGTGGGTCTGCCTTCACTGGTGTTTTTTCAGCAGTAATAACAATTTTTATGCAAACAGAGTACGTGGAGCTCAATACTTTTAATATGGTATAAAACTATAATATATATGTATACATGCGAAATGAAAAAACATATTTAGTTTTAAATTAAAATCTTTTCACACTATATATACAGTCACAGAGAACAGTAACCATATGCCAGAAAAAACAAAGAACAACCACTTTACAAATTCATATCACCAAAGAGAATACTTTATTGTAAATTCCTATACTGACACCTGATTCAAACATTTATTTTTTAATGATATACATTTAAATAGGTTATAAATAACACATTATTCTTGATATCATAAAACTATACAAATCTTACTGGAGGTCCAGGTGGTCCAGGGGATCCTCTAGGTCCAACAGGTCCCTATATTAAATCAGAAGCTCTACAGTTACTTAAGCTTTTTCATAAAATAAAAAATCAGCATAAAATTTGAAATGAACAATATTCATGATAATAATTTGTTTTGATACATATTTTAAAAGTATGAACTGGAGCATAAAATACTTACAAATTGTTCCTACACAGAAATGCCTAACCTCCTAACAAGTATTATAAAGTTTTCCTTAGTTAAAGTGTATATTTCTAGTACACTAAAAGCTTAGATCAACATTCACAGCTGATAAGTTACTGTCAACTTATAGAATTCTCTCTGATCTATGGAACTTTAAAAATCCAACAAAAAATCTGTATAGAAGCACAGAAAGATGTTGGTAGATATGCTGGTTCCACTGTATAAATTAAACAAGCCCCATGGTATAGTAGATTGAATTATATAACACAATACAAAGTACATACTTGTGTTAAATAAGCCCCATCATATACTACATTGAATTATAGAACATAATACAAAGCACATACTACTTCTGTTAAACAACCCCCTTGTTATAGTAGACTAAATCATATACCACAACACAAAATACATACCACTTGTGTTAAACAAATGTACCCTATGTTATAGTTGACTGAATCATACAACACAATAGAAAGCACATACCACTTGTGCTTGCATAAAACTGAGTGCATCAGGAGATGGTCCTTTATCTCCACTGAGACCTTGTTGTAGTGCAAGTTGCTGAAACCAACCTGACACCTACAGGATTTAGGTAATTACTAAACTGTCTTCGAAATAACAACAAGAAAAAGACAATAAATAACATAAATAAAATAGATTTTAAAACTTTTAATAATTAATATCATATCCAAATTTTGAACTTTGCACACATATTCTCTTAATTTTTCAATACCAATTAAAACTTTTTAAATCATGGACAGGACAGTGAATTTTAACCGTTATAAGTTACTTTAAGCACAATTCACTATATATATGGTATAAGATTATACCTAATATTCTGTTCATTAACAACAGTTAATTTAAATAAGCTTAATTAACCACTTTTTAAAACTTTCTCAAACTTTGATTATATAAACCATAATATATATCTAATGCTAACAGCACTACCTTTTTCACTGTATTTAAATAGTTTCCATAATGCAAAGCAAAAAGTAAAAAAACAATACTTAAACTCAACATACATCTCCTGGTGGTCCTGGAGGACCTGGTCCACCTGGGATTCCATGTGCTCCTGGCTGTCCTGGATTTCCCTGTAAAATATGTAAAGTGAGCATTATTGTTGGCTATATGTTGTGTGTGTGTGTCCTATGGTTGATCCATTGCAAGTGAGATATAATTTTTTTTCTTTAATTTTATTTTTCAAAAAGGTTTTTCTTTCTATGAATGCTTTGCAAGGGATCTTTATGTCAAATTATGTTTAGTATCTAATAATTTTTTAACGTGTTTTTAAGTGAAAAGAAAAATCATTCTCTGAATGATCTTTATAGACTTTAATGTGTTTGGTCAGTCTCAGAATGTAACATCTTTTGGTACTAAAACTAGTAATAACATTTTAACAATGGATCATTTTTAAACAAGTGCAGAGTTCTAGTTTTCCTGTACTGAACAAGTAATAAAGTTTCTCTAGGAATGGGTAGTGGCCGACGATAAATCATTTTCTTCATGCTCACCATTTTCACTGAAACGCACACAGCAGAACTGATTATAATCTAGTTATATTGTTTAAGTCACCTTTGAAGTCTCTCTTGTGATGTAAAGTATTTCAAATAGGTATAGTACACTGGAGAGTGATATATATAATGTTAATCAATGTACAATATACAACAAAAATTTTCTTACTTATTGTAACTGATAAAACACTACTCTGAGTTATATCCCCAACTGTATTTACCTAAACACATAGTTCTACTTCTATTTTTTTATTTATATTAATGCTATATTTGTTCATGGAAAATAAATAATGAAAGCTTTAAGTTTATATAACTTTGGCTTTGATTTCCAATACAGTAAAGTATTTGTGATTCAGTAAATCTGGCATCTCCAGTAAGTGATGTTTTTGAAGAGACAAAAACTTAACACCTTTTTTAAGATAAATCAATAATTCAATGAAGCTAATGCAATGTACATTCTTAGGAATAAATTTTATAAGTAGGGTGCTAATTTCAGCTTTAGTATTGTAGAGGAAGTGTAGAGCAGTGAGGAGTGTGGGTACTAATGTTTTTCCCTAAAATGTTCCTAAACCTCTATATTTATTAATATGGCTGATAAATATAGCTGCTGTGTAAGTAAACATTATTCTGTAAAGTTCTGAAGCTAAGTTTAGCACACTCTTTTCACATTAACATTTTATGTTTTATTGTAATTTTAAACCATGTATTACTTTCTTTCCTAGAAAGTCAGCCTCTTGTAATAGTGTAAACTATATACCTCATCAATAAAAATATTAATCCTGATTTTTATGGATCACTGTACATGTAGTACAGTTGTAATACTGTAAACTATATACCTCATCAATAAAAATATTAATCCTGATTTTTATGGATCACTGTACATGTGCCAAACATTTTATTTGTGCCTATGCTCTAAAGATTTCATCTCCTTGACTGGGTTAATTTCTAATGTTTGGTTCATACATTCACTTTTCCTCAACTAATATAGTGTGCATAATAAGTAGAATCCTATGTTCAACAAAACATATATATTGTAATTTGAAATAACAACAAATCCATAAAGGCTATTTCACAAAAAGACCATGTTTTTAAACAGTTGTAAAATTAAAAAATCTGTACATTATTTTGTAATCAAATAAAACATAATTTATCAGTGTAAATACCCATCTAAACAATAAATGTAATCTAGTCACTAAATATATCATCATCATTTTTTTTAACTACATCATAAATTATGAATTTACACAAATATATACAGCTGAATATGTTTTAGCATCAACAGGATTAATTCAGTTAATTTTAGCTCATTATTTTACTATAAATATGCTGTAACATAATTTATCATCTACACAAATAAATATATGCCCAAATTCTGAAAAATTCCTTATTACTTAAAAGAAACAAAAAAGACAGAAATTCCTTTTTATTTCTGTGCTATCTCTGATTATTCACTGTTCTGTACTTATATGACCAAATAAATATTTTTCTGATAAAGGTAGAGTCACACTAACATCAACAGTTTCTTCATCTGATAAAAAAACTTCTTAATGAAATTATAAAATATTTGTTTTAGAACAGAAAGCACATTTTACTTTTAAAGATACAATTTTATGAATATATATAACTTACTGCTTCTCCTGTCCTCCCTGGAGTACCAGGCTCACCTGGTTCACCCTAGATAACAAAACTTTATGATAAATATCACATTTATGCTGTAAAGAATTACAAGGAAAACCCATAATATTGTGTTAAATTAATATTTATTATACACAGGTATATAGGTTGTATACTGATTATTATTAGCATTGTTCAATAGTTCATCTATGCCATGTCATTACAAACATACGAAAAAGTTTATCACCAGGACTATGATAGAGGTTGTTGGTGTTATTTCATGTATTAACATAATAATATTTTTCTTCATACACCTTGCACAATTGGTAATTAAACATTATTCAATATTTCTTGTTCTGCTATTTCAAGAAGTAGTACCAATATTTTTCTACAAGATTCACTATAAAAAAAGTCTCATAAACTTGTAGATTTATCTTCAGAACATCTTAGTGAATAGAAAAACTTGTTTTTCTGTTATTTGGGCCAGTTAATGTGTAGAAAAATACTTTTAATACAAACTTGGTATTGTTATTTTTTGTGTTGCATTTTATGTCTAGAAGATGATTTTTATATAATACTGAACAAAGCACAGCAATATTAGAATCATGTGGCACTCAATTTTACCAGTAGGCGTACGGATAAATAAAGCGTTATCAAAGAAAAGGACTTGTTATGTATTTCATACATATGTAAACAAAGCATTTTAGTGTACAACAGAAGTGTTCAGTAACTGCAAGATGACAATTTCAATGAGTATCCCTCTTAAGAAAAGAATAAAGATCAGTTAAAGTAAATGAATTATTTCTTTTATTAAATGTTTTCCTACATAAATTGCACTGAATATTAAGTTATAAGAATTAAAGAAAAATTAATCTTATTTATCTTAGTAATTTGCCAAGCTGTAACTAGTAAAAAGAAAGTAACAGATCTAGCATGTTAAACCTTACCCGTGGTCCTGGAATGGGAATAGCTGGTACTTGTGGACTTGGAACTTCATCTGGATATGGCTGTTCCTGGAAAAAACAGAAATATCCATTCTAAACATCAAGCTAATAGAAGTCACGTTTCTATATATGATATATATCAATATCTACTTGCTTTAAATTATGACAAATTGCATATATAATATAAAACAAATCTTAAAAGGAAAGGATACTATTTGGATATCCAAACTAAACATTTTATCAAATGTTTCTTCCAGACTTATTCTTATTTATAATTATTACAGATGGCTGAATGTATTATATGAAAACAATTTTAAATATGCAAATCAGCAAATCACGTGACAACCACAACTAATATAAGGTCATATTGGAACATTATAAATCAGAACATTTTGACATTGTTTGGCATTTCATAGGAAGTGTGATGCCAATAAAAACTCACCACTTTTGGGAAGGGTAGGTAACAACCTTTCCAACACAAAGTATTCATACACTCAGATCATAAAGATGGGTTTGATTAGGGATTTAGGGATATTCCTTGTACTTAATGGTATGAAAAAGAAAGAAATACTTGGTGTACCAGAACCATCCTGAAAGTCATATCCTAGCCAAAGTAAGAAATGTGAAAAAACATGAAAGAGAATCTCTATCACATACATCACGCAGCTATAGAATGAAATGAAGACATGCCTAGCAAATTAATGAATGCACTGCCTATATATATATATGGATCAGACTGTTAATATGGGTGCTGGGAACTATCATTCTCATACATTAGATAGTTTATAGAAAGACTGTAAAGGGGGGAGGAGTGGGCTTTCGACATGATAGCTTTACTTTATAACAGAGTTTTTTTTGCAATAGAAACTACTCTGCAGGGCTATTGTCAAGATGTACAGTCATCAGAAAGGGCATGATCAGATGTGGCAACATGGACTTTAACAAACTTTAACAAGGCTCAAAAATCATTTTAATATAATGTAATCAACCTCTGTATTATTATGAAAAGATAAAATTAGTTATAAGGTAAATAAATCGATACAGATACAATAACATTTTTCAGAAGCACTGCAGTTACATTTCAGATATACCTTAATTGAATCATCACATTAATAACAATGTAAGTTGAAAGTACAAATTCATGCATAATTTGTGTTTGTTATACTTATATCCTCTTGTGCTGTTGGTTTAAAATTGGTAATTCATGACTGTATCATATATAATATCATACTGTTGTAAAATGTTCAATCCTTGGGAGGTTCTTTTGGATGATTTGGTAAAAATAATTCCAAGACCAGTCCACATAACGATAAGAAATTAGCTCATATTTTCAGTAAACATTTCCTACAGTCACATTTAATTAAATGTTATAGGCCTAATTTCAAATACGGGGTTTCCATAGAAACCACGAACCTAATGTAGGCCTAATTTACTTAATTTTAGTCAGTAAATTATAATATAACTCACCAAATACCAGAAGAGATCCTATAACTCTCGCTACTGACGCTAATAACTTTTGATATTGAACTGGCTAAATCAATCAACCAGTGCTCACTAAACCCACTGCTTAGCTTTCTAACTCATCTGACTTAATCATTTCTGACTATTCTATATATTGTACCCTTGTTTCTACTTATCACATGAACCTTGTTGATTATTAATTTTCATGAACTTTCTAGATCTTTAGGTCATCCTAATGATGAGCTCCCTATAGAAAACATCGAAATTAAAACTTTGAAAATGTAGCTTACAACAATAATAATTTTTGTATTCTAACATAAAAAAACACTAGCAATATCTAGTGCCTCATTGAATAGCTGTGTAAGTTGTAACATACATACATACAGTCATATGAAAAGCTTTAAAATTTACATTTCATTATTTACAGCAAATACTGGAACATTTTAATCTGTATATTTAGTTGTGTATTGAACCACCTTTTTTTTCCCTTTTATAATAAACATTAATACTGTCAGTTTACTAAGTACTACAGAAGCAGATCAATAATAACATAAAGGCTACACGTGTATAAACTGTATATAAAAACAATGATACACTTACTGGGCGAACTGTTTCTTCTGGTCCAACCTGTTCAGGATCTGGAAAAAACGTAAATAAGATTTATTCAGTAAGTGAACATCAGCTAGAATCTTTTTTTTTTTCAACCAAGTTATCTGTTTTTATAACTAATGTTTTATGATTTATCATAACATTACTATATAACCTAAATTTGCAAAATAAAAAATTACGGTGAAAGAAAGTATTATAACTGTAAAATCAGCTGATAAAAAGTAAAACAACATAACAACAGTTTCAACCGTGTATTTACTAAAATAATTTAAAATTACATGAAATTATAATTTTTCCTGTACATTGCTTGAAAATTAACCTCCGAGAAACAAGATAGCATGACCAATCTTAACAAAAGAACATGTAATCATAATGAAAACATCCAGTGGCGTTGCTACAGGGGGGGGGGGGATTGCCCCCCCATTGCAATTTTATTGATTATTCGGAAATTTCGGCATCTGAAAATCTACATAACACAAAATGTTAAATTATTTCAATTATAATTATTTTCAGTGCAGTATATGTTGCAGTTTTTGTCTAAAAAAGCCACACTTGCATGCGTTTCCAAACCTTGTTATACTAATGCGTATATATTTGTCGATTTCTGCTTCAAATGCAGCAGCTGAGAAATCGTTCAACAGAATGAAATTGATCAAATTATATCTAAGATCAAGCAAGTCCACAAAATGACTTTCAGGGTTGGCTTTTGTCAGCATTGAAAGAACAAATATCAAGCAATTGATAAACTTTGACAAAGTCATAGACATATTTGCAGAAATGAAGAAACGCAAGATAGTTCTGAAGTAATTGTTGTTAATTCTGTTGTTCAACTTCAAGTCAAAACTGAAATAAAGTTCTATGGCCCGAACTGACTCAATGTTCAGCGCAATAGTAAGTAATAAATTCATTGTTTAGTAACTGAATTAATTATGTCTGATTCTGCTAATGTTAATTGCTAAGAAGTAATGATTTCCGAAACTTTCCAAGTTTTTGTAATCCCACCCCCCGACTCCTGAAAAACTTTGTAGCTATGCCACTGAAAACACCAATCCATGAACAGATGTAAAATGCCTTGTTTAGAAACAGATTAGAAACTAGTAAATAAGTATCCATTATGGTATAGTTGTACAGATATAAATGTATGTTCAATGTAGTCAAACATCTATATGTCGAAATGTTAGAGAACCTAAAAATTTATTCAAGATATCAGAGAGTCCGTATAGTCAGTTTGGGACTTTGATCTTAGTTTTGACCTCAAGTAAATGTGGAGTATTAGATACGGTAAACGTCAATTAAAGGAAATGGACGGGACCAAATTCCACAATGAATAACAACCATGTATTTCGCATATCCAAGTTCTAGATATACTAATTTTTAACTGTATTTAATCGGCAAGGGAAAAAAACAACAAGATATTTTGAACTTTTTTTTCAATGAAAAGTTACTACTTCTTTAGATAACTACTTAATATAAAATAAAACCAAGAAAGTTAATATGAGAAATATATACAAATATATAATATACAATTACATAATCACAGAAGAGTATTAACATGGTTTAAGACTGCTCTAATTTTATTTATATTGTGTATAACCAGCAGTGTAGTTCTGAAGTGTAGACAGCGGTAATTTTTCGGACTTACATCGCTAAAATCCGGGGTTCGATTTCCCGCGTTGGACACAGCAGATAGTTTGATATGGCTTTGCTCTAAAATAAACAACTTACCAGGCCTTGTAGCAAATAAAAATTTTCTGGATAGTATATATACATATTGATAGTTTTGTATTAGCTACATTCAAAATAACTTGGTAAGAATTTTTCGAACTAAACAAAGAAAATTGGAGAAGTTACACATTATGTGAAGAAGTAATAAAGATTAAACTTTTTTCGAAATTAATGTATTTCTTTTTGGCAATGGTGTCTTGACCACTGTATGGTTGATAGGGTGCAAATAACAGATTTTTCTGAAAAAAACACAACAGGAAAATAATTTGAAAAGTAAACTCATGAAATAAAGAAATACTGAAAATCTTAGTCACAAACTTGTATATCTACAAATTATGTTGTATGCGAACTGAAATAGATATACAGGTCTTACGAGTCAGAATCTTTGCCGATTTACGAGTGCAACTTTATAACTTTATTCAGTTAGTCTCAAAAATATGTTTCATTGATAAGTCACGAAACCTAGCACACTCTTAGTCAAAATGTTTGCCTACTGTTCTATACTGATGCTATTGTCTGCATGCATAGAGTAGTTATTGAGTAAATTCCCGAGTAGTAACAGAGAAGGTAGCGTATGATTGGACAAATATGTACGAGTTGTTATTCTGGTCTGTATAAGTTGTTTGAGCATTTGTTTGTTAAAATACACATACATACCTGTTTTGTATAAAGTGAGTGTTTTTGGAAAATCTTTTTCGAAACAGGCCAATGCTTTGTTCAGACAATTTCTCGTACTAAGTGTAGAGTCATGCCTCGTCACGTGCCAGAAGTTATAGGGCATAAAATTGTTCGACTGTCCAATAATGATATGAAGCAAACGGACTAGGATACCCCTAGTGTACTCTCTTCAGAATCCTGAAACGTCATCGGACTACAGGAAACATTATTCCAGGAAAGTTTACTGGTAGACGCTAGAAAACTATTGACTGAGATGCTCGTGTTTTGATCAGGTTAACACGTCAAGGTCGAAAAAAGTCTTACAACACCTTACGACAGAAATGACATGAACACATTCATTCCTGGGCATCCAGAAGAACAGTGAATAGGAGACTGGCCAAACAAGGTTATTTTGCGAGAAAGAATATCTTCAAACCGATATTAACCAGAATTCACTGCTGTCACCGAGTTACTTGGACAAGACAGCATGCCAACTTACAGTTAGGGCACTGGCGACATGTCATCTTTTCAGATGAGTCCTGTTTCCAGCTTGTTAAACTGATGGTAGGATTCGTGTTCGTCGTTTGACTCGAAAACGGATGAGGAAATGTTTTCTTTCTCACAGGGAACACACCGGAGGTGGTGTAGTACATTTTTGGCAGCTATTCACCAGGTTGCTCTTCATTTCCTCCAGGGAAACGTCAATGGTGTCTCCTACAGGCATTATATGGAAAAGATATTTGTGCTATGCTAAAGAAAGGTTTGGCAATAACTTTGTGTTCCAGAATAACAGTGCCACTACTCACAGTGCGCGTATTATACAGGATTATCTCGACCACGAGGACGTTACAGGATTGCCATGGCCAGCAAAGTTTCCAGATTGTAATCCCATTGAGAACTGTTGGGCAGAACTGAGCCGGAAAATTGCTATCCACGATACTAAAACAGTTACTGTAGCTGAGTGGCAGCGCCTTCTAGTGACAAGTTGGTATGAAATCCCTGTGGATTACATCAATAACCTGATCGAGGTTATTAGAGTACGAGGAAGACCAACCAACTACTGAACGTTTAATATGAACTGATAAGAGGTTACAGACGCAATATATAATAATTTGATCATATATTTTGTCATTATATATGTTTTGATAAAGTTTTTGTTGTAACAGATGAAATGCTGAATCACACATATTCCTACAGGTGTTTGATAAAATTGTTTGATTTTCTAATAAATCGTTCATAATGTTCATAGAACCTGTTTCAATATACAAAGTACAAACGTAGATGTTTAACATAACATGCATCTCACAGTTTGACAGCGCTAAGAGTATTTATATTCCGTCTTGATAATAATGATCTTATTTGTTAGAAAATATGCAAACATTTTGGACGACCTAGCTATAAATGTCTTCTTAGCTTACACTTATCTATTTGAAATATCACTTGATTCGTTAATGGCAGTGATGTCCTATTCAAAATATAGCTGAACAATTAGTGGAATTTGATCATTTATTAAGGGGATCATTTATCGATTGCATTCAACTAATCGATTGTCCTCAAATGGGTTTGTTTGTTTGTTTATTTGTTTTTGAATTTCGCGCAAAGCTACACGAGGGCTATCTGCGCTAGCCGTCCCTAATTTAGCAGTGTAAGACTAGAGGGACGGTAGCTAGTCATCACCACCCACCGCTAACTCTTGGGCTACTCTTTTACCAACGAATAGTGAGATTGACCGTCATATTATAACGCCCCCACGGCTGAAAGGCCGAGCATGTTTGGTGTGACAGAGATTTGAACCCGCGACCCCCATGCCTGGCCTCTCAAATGGGACTTTTATAGTTGTAATAATGAAAATATTATAATTGGAAACACTAATTTCGATTAGGTGATTTTTTTGTGAGTTGTGACACTAATAAGTTAAGTTGAACAACCTTGAATTAATCGAAAATGATAACGAGAAGTCATAATGACAATATTTCGATTATTGGATAGTTGGAATAATTAAAAACAATAATTTGAATTAGTTGATTATTTTATGTAACATCAATCGATATAATCGATGATGATATATGAAATCGAGTTATTTGCCTAGCTCCATTTCACAAACCATAATTATCGAGTATACGAGTCATATTGTTCATCACAGTTTTGCTGAATGATTTTGCAGTCAATTTGATGAATCGAATATCACAAGATTAGAGAAAATTTAAACAAGCTTGTTACTTGATTATCGTAGAATTTTCGAAAACATAAACTTGTACTGAAAAACCATTTAGATAATTGTAGTATCCTTAGGTTTTTACTTAGAGTGTTAAAACAGGTCTGATGAATAACAAGAGATATGACAAGATATTTATTGCAGAGTAGTTCTGAATTTCTCTGGCCTATTTCATGAGAAAGAAAGAGACTAAACACAATGTGAGAAACAACAAACAGTCTTTATTAATATCACAAACACAGCGTGTATACTTCCTTAGGATGCTGAACAGTCATTTTTATTACATTTAAGCTGTTTTTTTAAACTGTATTCGTCAAAATCATATACCAGACTGTGTAAGCCTAATGTTAGCTAATTCAAAGGTAACATCAAACATATACAGCGCACTGGTCAAGGAGTATGGTAACCCCCTCTCGCCCATATAAACACAGA